TGCCCCCCCCCCCCCCCCCCCCCACAGCTTAAACCTCACTCCTTCTCACTCCACCACACTCAACCACCGCAAATAAAAGGGTCGAACGGTACCTATATTACTACTGGAATGCAGGATAACATTTGAAACTTTTGCTACAATAAGCAAATCTTCTGGCTTAGATCCTTATTACTGAGGATCAGGCTGTTCCAACGAAGCCACTAGACCTTTGTTGCAATGTATACAATCAACAGTGAAACTGTCCGAAATATTTGACATTACTAATAGAAAACTTCTGAAATTCTTGTTATCATTTGAACTATTGTGGCATATATTTTTATCCTAAAATTATTTGCATGTGACTGTCTTTCAATGTGTTTCTATGCGTGACTATGTTTTACTATGCGCTGCTATGTCACGACGTGTTGCTATACTTCCTGTTTCTATGTGCGAGAATCTGTTGCATGTGACAGTGTTTCTATGTGTGATAATGTGTTGTGATTTGCTGCTATGTGGGACGATGTGTTGCTACTATGACTATGTGTTACTATGCGCTGCTGTGACAATGTGTTGCAATTTGTGACTATGTGTTACTATGCGCTGCTATGTGACAATCTGTTGCTATTTGTGACTATGTGTTACTCTGTGTTACTATTGTAACTATTTGTTGCTATGCGCTGCTATGTGACGATGTGTTGCTATTTGTGACTATGTGCTGCTATGCGTGACTATCTCTTTTTATGTGCAAGAATCTGTTGCATGTAACTGTGTTTCTACGTGTGATAATGTGTTATGATTTGCTGCTATGTATGACGATGTGTTGCTATTTGTGACTATGTGTTACTGTGTGTTGCTATGCTGACTATGAGTTGTGTTACTATGCGCTTCTACGTCACAATGTGTTGCTATTTGTGACAAAATAATGACAGTAGCAACACACAGTAACACATAGTCCCAAATAGCAACACATTGTCGCATAGCAGTGTATAGTAACAAATAGTCACAAATAGCAACAGATTGTCACATATCAGCGCATAGTAACAGTCTCAATAGCAGCACATCGTCACACATAGCAGCATATCACAACACATTATCACGAATAGAAACACAGCCACATGCATAACATTCTCGCACATAGAAACATATAGTCATACCTAGCAATACAGTGTCACAAATATATGGTATAAAGTGCCTCTTCATTTAGTCAGGGGTTGCATAATTCATAAACTCTATATACGCGCAAAGTCTCGCACAGACATTGCATTACTGTTTCTCTCTAGTGCGGCATAGTCGGATCCTAAATGTATATTTAATTCTAAAAAGTCGATAATTTTATTGATGTCACACAATTTGGGTGTCATGCTATTCTATGAACTAAAATCTAGTCTGGATAGATCAAGTTACAAAGCCAATGGCAATGAAACCTTTTTATAATATTTGTAATGTGCCTGGTGTATATTACTGTAATAAAAATGAAATATGAAACAATATCTTGCTTGACAGTGCTTCTAAATCCATAAATACATTTACATATTATGCAAATACTGTATATACTTAATATACATTTTCAAAATCCGCCATGTTTATTTACATTAGAACCGAAGCATTCAAGGCTCACGCGAAATATTATGTCACGCCTCTGATGTCACGTCCGTGATTTACACTACAAACAGTGAGCACGAGCTTCAGGACCAATTCAATTGTTGACAACAAAGGTATTCAATCTAAATAGCAGTTAAAATAAAGTGTACGCCTCTGATGTCACGTCCGTGATTTGCACTATATACAAATAGTGACCTTGGGCTTTAGGACCAATTCAATTTGACAACAATAGTATTCAATCTAAATAGCAGTTAAAACAAAGTGTACGGCCCCTGAACTGTTCGATATCTCGCTTGACAGTGCTTCTAAATCCATAAAACATTTACATATTATGCAAATACTATATATTTTCAAAATCCGCCATATTTATTTTTATCAGAACCCAAGCTTTCGAGACTCACACGAAATATTACGTCACGCCCCTGATGTCACGTCCGTGATTTGCACTAATAATATGAGGGCAAGATCATCCAATTATTTCATCGTTCGAAGCGACAGGAAACCAAACTTCCATATATGGCACAAACGTGTTCCCAACTTCCTCATATGGCACAAACGTGTCCCCAGAATATTTTATCAAGGCTGCTTATGATGTCATAAGATTCGTCACGCTCGGAACGACTTGAACGTTCACGTGACATATATATATATATATATATATATATATATATATATATATATATATATATATATATATATATATATATATATATATATATATATATATATACGTGACATCATAGGCGTGACGTAATATTTCGCGTAAGCCTCGAAAGCTTGGGTTCTAATGTAAATAAATATGGCGGATTTTGAAAATAAAACTTACTCCTAAATAACTTCCACTTTATTTACTAGCGGCTAAATCGAGGAATGCGCATTTACCAGACGCCATTTTAAATTCCGCTCAATGACCTGGGTCTCAGTTATGATGTCATAGTATCAACCATGAATAATGTAATCGAAACAAATTCGCGTGAAAATTAAAATATTAGCACTAAATGTTGTAATTTCAACAATATTTGAAATAAAATGCAGGTGTCGATTTTAATAAAGCATCGCACTTTAAATCGTTTGTGTTTGCTTCTATTACTGATCGTGCTTAATCACAGTGTTCATTGAGCTAAAATAAATACATAGAAATGTAAATCAAATTCTGTAACTCGCCATTGAAATGTCGAAGTTGATTTAATATCGAAGTGTAACAGAGTTAAGACTAGAAAGTTCTTCGCCAACTTTGAGCGTATGCTTGTACTCCAGGGTATGCACCACACAAATGTTTTGCTGGTGGCAGTGCATAGACTTACGAGACAGGAGGCCCTTGCCCCCCCCCCCCCTCCAAAAAAAATTCATGCTAGAAAAAATCAAGAAAATTCGGGCAGATTTATCAGAATATATGTTAAATTCTGTTTATTTCATTACAATCCTACCCCCTTCCCCGGAAGAGATCAGCCCCGTACGCCTACGTGGATGGTGCTGGGGTGCCTACATAAGGGGGCCACAAATATTAAAAACATAAAGTGATTTATGCATATAGATATAAAAAGTCAACAGACTAATCTCCCAGATCGAATGCTGCATTTTTCCGTCCGTGGGACTTCTGATTTCAAAATTGTCTGGGGCCCTAACGTGTCTCATGCAGTACTATACAATGGAAATCACGAGAGGCCCAAACTAATATTTTGTCCCAGGTTGGGGCAAAGATTTCAATTCTCATCGACAGGTACAATATTTAACGTGCGAGAAAAACAATAATGCAGTTATACATTAATATTATGAAATCACAACGTAAGTTTCGGCAAAGCTTTCAGTATTCAAAGGTCTAAATTATACCCGGATTTAATTAATAATCAGGATGATTTACAAAGAAATATAGATCACATTCACGTCCATACTAGCAATTTTTGCATTTAACTTGACACGACGATACTACGTTTGAAACGAAGAAGTGCTACAGCCTACAGGGCTTTAACAGGACGAATTTAATTCCTTTTATACGACGCAATACCAACCATTATTTCTTTTATTAAATTAGTCCGTATTCTGACTAAGTTATTATGCTACATGGTGTAAATTCATAGGTGTAAATTCATATCAAACATTAAATTAACAATTATATCTTATCATTTATCTTAATCAAGTAAGTGATATCTGCACTACACAACTACAAAATATAACTATAAATTACGCGGTCCTTGGCCAATTAATTCCAAGTTTTTAAAAAATACATTAATTAGTTATCAGTATTAATTATGTCCGCTACATGCTAACGTCTGCTACATGCTACATTAAAGGGTATTGTATTATAATCATGGAATAAAATCATCACAGGAATTGCAGTGAAAAATCAGCGGACAACGAAGACCAAATTCTTGTCGAATGTCTGTCAGGTTTGGGTCATAAAATGCAAAATTACAAACCAAATTCAATCCAAATATAGTCTGGAAACTCAGGCAAAGTCTGTCTTCTATCTTTTTTTTTGGTTTTTTTCCGGTGAAGACATGAATTTTTGCCAAAATAAAACAAGCATCCGATGGCGTCATCACGTCGAATCGCTCATGAGAACCATATTAATCGGCAAATATTAACAAATAAATTTTGGACGATTTGTGCATAATGAAGCCGTTTCAATAATAATCATGCAGTAGTTCATTATGGCGAGTTTGAAATTTTCAGTGTTTAGTGTTTCAGTGTTTCCATACCATATCATATCATGATTAAAGGACACTGGGACTAAAAATTTAATTTGATTCATTTGAAAGAACGTTTAAGATTGTGTATTAACTTTTTGTTGCAGATATTTTATATCCAGTCTAACTGTTGTCAGTTTGACTGAAAGCAGAGAGCTGTCCGCCATCTTGGATTAATTCTTAACCAGACTTAATAACTTCATTAACTATGGTTTTGAAGACCTCAAAAGTGCTGTTAGCCTTTTCAATTCGAAATTTCAAATAACAGCATGCAAGTTCGAGTTTTTGCTTTGCTGATATCAATGACTGGCTGTTATGATAACAATTCTGCGGGACCTAACTTGTGATGTAACATATACAGGGTGTATCAAAATAAACGCAATTCATCTTTTGTGCTTAATAACTTTCGAAATACTATTTCTAGTTAAACGCTTTTAGGCTTACTTCAAAGCCTGTTCTTTTCTCTTTCAAACAAACTGTTATCCTTGTCTCCAATGCTAGTAATAATTGCACAGGAAAA